CCTATCAGGCAAATTGTCAGACTCTTCCTAACTCTGATTTACAACCTAGACCATTACAACTCTGATTGGACAGAGGACCAGCCTTGTAAATACCAACTTATAGACTGCCTACAAACTAAAGCACAAAGTGCTTTAGTTCACCTCTTGCTATAAGGAGCAAAATACCATCTCATTTTTTTCCCATCTCATTTTAATGCTAAAACCCCATCCCAAAGTTAACATAGGATACAAGCTACATATGTTGGCCCACTGTGCATGCACTCGGTCCCCACATAAATATATATGGTTCCTCTCAAACCTGCCGATATATATGGCTCTATCATGCAACGTGGCCCCTATTGGGCATAAAACCCAACTTGTCCTTTCCCTCTTTGGAGAGAGCACTTTTGGTGCATGCCAGAGACAAACTGGTATTATCAGTAAAAGCTCTCATTCCTACTATTTAGCCATCCTGGTGGTGTTTTGGATGACACTGGGACCAGGGTGATGGCAGTGGAGAAGGAGGGCAAAGGATGGACTTCAGACACATTCTGGGAGTGAACCCATAGCCATTGCTGATGGATTGGACATGGGGGATGATGGAGGATGCAAGGATGTCACTTGGGCTCTTTTACAGAGGTAGGAAAAGCTGGGAGAGGAGTGAGTTTGTGGGGGAAACAAAGAGTTCTGTCTTGGCATGTGTTGTTTGTTATTTCACATAGTAAGTTTTTCCATCTCCACCTTCCCTACCCACTTCTCCACACAGGAACTTTCCCAAAGGAAGATTCTTACTTTTTAAAATGAAGATACATTTGTTTTGAAATCCAACTATTCACAGCTGATCGTCAACTGCTTGATTCACTAGTTCTAAACAAAAATGTTGAGCTTCCTGTAAGCAAGGTGAGGAAATAGAGACAAGATTATCCAGTCTCTTCCTTAAGGAGTTTTTAGCCTAGTACTTAGACCATTATTTTAGCAAAGGATACATGCTTGGGTACATAAAATGTAAGCCAAATGTATTAGTTAGATGACACAGTTACAACTGGGCTTCATTTCTAGGGAGCTAAAAGATATCAAGCTTCTAATTTCTTCCTGCTCTTCAGACAGCATTTGTAGATCCATCTGGTGCATGTCATTGATATTCAATTTTGGTTTTTCCTCCATGTTGGACCCACAAGGGCTGACTTCAGTGAGTGTCTAAGGACTTCCCTTCTCAGTCAGATGGTTTATTAATCATGGTCTGTATCACCAAAAACCTTTCATCTTTCCATCTCCTACCTAATTTTATATACAAAGTTGAGGCAAAATGCATGACAATATTCAAATAATGCCAATGTTAAAGGTTTGGGTGGTGGGAATGTTCCCCATCAGCTGAGGGCCAGAGCCCAGATTCAGCACAGAAAATGCGTTTGGGGTACCAGCAGAAGCTGAATGCATGAGTAATTGTTTCCCAATCCCTGCCGAGCTAGAAATCATACTATCAGTGCTGTAGGACAGTGGTCCCCAACCTTTTTGGCATCAGGAACTAGTTTCATGGAAGACAGTTTTTCCATGGACGGTGGGATTGGGGGAAATTTGATTCTCAGAAGGAGTGCGTGGGCAACCTGGATCGCTCGCATGGGCAGTTCACAATAGAGTTCACACTCCTATGAGAATCCGGTACCGCCTGATCTGACAGAAGATGGATCGCCTGCTGCTCACCTCCTACTGTGTGGCCTGGACGGGTACCAGTCCGCTGCCCAGGGGGGTTAGAGACCACTACTGCAGGAAGTTGGAGCCACACACCTACTGCCATGGCCTGTGCTTCCATCAAAACCATGTGAATCCCTGTTTCTGGGTACACTATTAGCACTTACTCAGGCTCATCCCTGCCAGCCACCACCCTGCCCCTCACACAACCTTTGGAGTTTGCTCTGTGTCCCAGCTGCCTTCACAGTGAACTCAGCATCCCCTGGACAAACTCCCAACATTCACAAACGTACTATGTATGACTGATCACAGAAGTAGAGTCTGGAAAATACAACTTGAACACATCTCTGTCTGCTAAAGAGATCTTTTATCCATATCCTCCCCCTTTTAATTTCTGAGTCAATTTCCCATTTACGTGACAGTTTCCCAAGTGCCCTCGGTCACTCTAGAATTCAGTCTTGCTCTTATTATACAGTCTTGTGCCACTTGAAGATGAGGACATGTCCTGGGAAATGTGCTAGGTGATCTTGTCACTGTGAGAATCATGGTGTGTACCTACACAGACCTAGATGGCATAGCCTACCGGACTCCTCTGCTACCCGTCATAGCCTATTGCTCCTGGGATGCAAACCTGTGCAGCACGTTACCATGCTGAGTCTTGTAGGCAGCTGCACTCCGATGGCAAGTATTGACATATCTAAACATAAAAGCAGGCATAGTAAAATGTAACATGGAAGATAAAAAGCCACCTGCACGGGGCACTTTCCGTGAACGAGGCTTACAGGGCGGGCAACCGCAGCGGGTGAGTGAGTCAGTGAGTAACTGGCGAGTGAGTGTTGGAGTCCCAAGACGCTGCCATGCTGCCATGCACTCCCAGACTTTGTGAACACTGTGCCCTTAGACTACGCTAAGCCTGTTTTAAAATTTCTTCCTTCCACAACAGTTAGAAGATTGTAACTTTTTTATATTATGGGCATTTAGTTTTTTTAAAATTTTGACTCTTGTGATAACAGCTTAAGACATTTTTTCTTTATATCCTTATTCTATAAGCTTTTTTCTATTAAAAAAATTTTTTTTTTGAGTTGGAGTCTCATCCGTGGTGCAACTCATGGCCACCCTGGCATCAACCTGCTGGGCTCCGGCGATCCTTCTGCCTCAGCCTTCCAAGTAGCCAGACATACAGGCGCATGCTAACATGCCCAGCTAATTTTTTTTTTTTTTTGATTTATTGTAGAGACAAAGTCCAACCAAGTTGCCTGCAGCTTCAGGCAATCCACTCGCTTTGGCCTCCCAAAGTGCTGGGATTACAGGATGATACACCGAGCCTGGTCTTTTTTTACTTTTTAAACTTGTTTACTAAAAACTAAGATACACATTAATATTAGCCTAGGCCCACACAGGGTCAGGATTATTACGACCTCACCAGACAACAGGAATTTTTCAGCTCCATTATACTTTTAGGGACCCGCCATCATATATATAGTCTATCATTGACCAAAACACCATTAGGTGGTGCATGACTGTACTCTGACCAAACGTAGTTAATTGCTAAAGAAACTGAAGAGGAAATGAATAGTGACAATGAGAAAAGGACAACCAGTCCCATCTGTCCTGACTGCTGCTGGAATCTGGGAGCAGAGTATGAGAAAAGGAAGCTGGTCATTAGGAGTGCAAGAAGCTTCTTTCAGTTTAAGAAAGGAGCCAGAGGTTTGTGGGCCTTCAGTGTTGGAACAAAGGCTGGACCCCGACAGCTCCCATCTCTCCCAAAGAGGCTGCCAGGAATGTGAAGGAATTGAAGGGGCATCTTGGTGGGGAGTAAACTGCAGAATCTCAGGGTGTGGGGCCTGGGAGGATTATTTTGATGGTTATGGGAACAGATCTGAGCAAAGAGAGCAGCAGGGAATGCAGAGGAAAGCCCTAATAGTCCTAATCTCAATTCAGTGTCTGAAACAGATGAAAGTTCAGACTGATCCCAGGGGAAAAAATGAACTAGGAAAGAGAGTTGTCTAATTGCGAGGGAACCCACCCATCACCAAAGCCAGGATCCAAAGCAGGTCTCAGCACTTCTGGGAGAGCAGGAAGCTGGCCCAACGGAGTGAGCGAGTTAGTTTCTGGAGAGGGCTGTGCCTGTCCCTGCATATACAGCACCTCACGGTGGTGCTCGGGCTGGCACCCTGCTAGCAGGTCTCAACTTTCTGGAACTGCAGGAAGTGGCTGAATTGCAATTAGTGAACTCAGTCAAAATGACCTCATTTTCTTTGAATATTAAGATCTGGCTGACCGGGCTCGGTAGCTCAGCCTGTAATCCCGTGCCTTGGGAGGCTGAGGTGAGTGGATTGCCTGAGCCTGCGGGTTCGAGACCCGTGCCTGGGCAACTTGGCGAGACCTCATCTCTACAATAAATCAAAAATTAGCTGGGCGTGG